GTAATAACAACAGGGCAAGCGGGTAGGCTTATCAATGTAGGCCACAAATTCCTATTGAAGCTAGTCTTCTTTGCTGATGAAGAGAAATAAAAAGCCATGCTCTCCTTACCTTGAGCAAGGAAGATGACAGGTATGTATAGAGGTAAACTGAAGAGTATGTATCTCTTTTCAAGGAGGCACAATGATTGCCACCAAAAAAAGTTCATCAAGCATAGGCATCCAGACAATCTTTTGCCACACCATGACTAAATATTTCGATGTACCAAAACTCAATCATCAAGATAGACTCACCACAATGAAAAATATCAAAGAGTGGTCAAAAGCATTTACAATTACACATCGATGTATCTTCAGCTACACCAAAACATTCAAAAGAAAGAAAATTAGGTCTTCTAAAAGAGCAATGAGGCAAGAGATGTCACCAATGAAGAAGCCTTCGATATATGTCATTAGAAACATTATTATATAGGACCAAGTTAAACCAACTGGTGCCAATCAAGATATGACATTAGAAATTTGCAAAAGCAGGTGAGAGCACAAGAAGGAACTATAATCTAGGAGGCTCCTAAAGATGAACCAGTATCCGATCTCCATGATTCATAAGCCTCTCAAAACTCAAACTTTCAAAAGAACTTCCTAAAACTTTCTTGAAAAATCATTTGTTAAACACAACAAAATGGTGCAATTAAGAGGTTGAAAAATCATCTTTTGTTTGCCTGAAATTATGATTTCACAAAAGTGAAATCAATCCTCCAAAGGGGGCCCAGTGTAGAATTTGGGGGAAATTCAAATCAAAGAAGAGAGAAGTTTGATTCCCAAATTCAAAACCAAGTTGATAAGAAATTTTCCCTCACAATTTGAATCAGATCTGAAAGGTTATCAAAAGATCGGATAAGATAATTGTGCCAATACATTATGTTTCTATATAAAGAATATCAATGGTGGATAGATTCTCATATCACAGCCAGATTGCGAATTCACAAAGATTAAGTCAATAGGTGTATCTTGATGAAGAGGACCATCAATTCAAATACTTGATAATCAAAGCCAAGAGGTAGAAAATTTTGGAATCCTTAGACGACAATAAGGCAAAGTGAATAAGAATAAGTTTTTTTTAATTTTTAAACTTAATTTTGATAAATTTGTATTTTAAACTTTAAATCATAATAAGATTTCTTCTCTTTGTTGAGTTAATTAAAGGAAGGTTATGTTTTTCTAATTTTATGGAGTAGCCTTGTAAAATTTTGGAATTTTTTAAAAAAGATAAAGCCCAATTTCCAAATAATTTTTATAGTAAATTACCCATTTAAAGGTCTATTTTATTGAATAGAAACAAATTCCAATTCTTCTCAAATCAATTTCTTCTTCTCTCCTCTTCCTAATTCCTCTTGGCAGTTCAAAATCCACTTAACTGGCAAAATCGTCGATTGTAGGACTTAACATGGTTACCCATGTTGGTTGCCAGCAACTTTGAAATGTGGATATTGCAGTGCTATCAAAACCTAGCTAAGAACATAAACATTTTGTTATTGTCTGATTGCACAAAAAAAGAAAAAAACAAAAGAGCAACAACGAAAACACAATACTCAGATTGCTGAATTTAGCAATCTATAATAAAAAAACAAGAAAAGTTATTCTAGTTCCAGACAAGGAGGATCCCTAGATTGTTGTCCAGAGGTAGATTACATCATCGATGTTATTTTTGGTAGGAATATCAGAATTCATGATAGGGTAATTGCTATCCATAGCAAGAATATGTTAACAAAATAGGAAAGCTATCATTAACAATTTAAACCAAACTTAAGGTACATGATTTGTTCATAGTTTCATTCAGAAAAGAATCTGGAAACAATTCCTAAAACTTCTACGAATCTAACCTTCTTATTGTGGACTTGCCATTCACAATTTAAGATATATCATCAGGATCATTAGAAGAAGTCAACAACAAATGATATGCTAATAAGTTATACTTCATGGAAGTGAGGAGTACAAAAATATAGAAGGCAAAAACATACTTTAAAAATGCGTAAAATTGAATTCTCCTTCAAGTTCTATATAATAATTAAGAACGAAAGTACCAGACTTGTAATCAGCGTAATGAACAAAAGAAAAGCTACAACTTTTACTAGATTATATAATCAAATTGGAACCAATAAAGAAAAAAAAAAAAGAGATATGTACAATTGCTAAGACAAGAGCAAGACATCTGAAGAATTTTGTATGCCCATACATATGATGTAGGTTACTTGCAGGTATCCAAACAATTTTTAGTCCAAGGTGAACGGTCAGAGGGAACATTCACTCGAAGTGATACGCGTACAAATGAAGTAACGCCATGAGGGGTAATCTCCAACACTAGCCTATGAGCAAGAACGTACTCACCGCAATGTAGCTTGCGACATACGAGCTTGACAATGGAGGGTCTGAACGAGGAAATGCTTGTTCTAGGCAAGTTCATCCAAATGATTCTCTTAAATAGGTACTAACCACATGTGCACCATTTAGCTCACTTAATGTTTCTATATCAATCCATCCATATCACACATATATTACTTTTTCATTTTTAGATGTAGTCTTCCATATAACCCTCTTAACCCTATAAATAAATGCTTGAGAGACATATTTTGAGCATTAAAATATTTTCACTATTTACAAAGATCTTAGAGCTTCCCACTTACTTTTCATACTTGTTGATTTACTCACTTGTTTTTCTCATTTTAACCCACCAAACATGCTTGTAGAGTCAGATGCCACCCATGAACAAATTTGTTCAAATTATATGCATTAGAAGTGAATATAATAAAATCTTGTTTAAAATTAAAACTTTAAAATAAAAAATGCAATATTGAGAAATTATAAAATGGGAGTTTTAATGAAGAAACTATTTCAGAATAACAAAATGAACAAAATATAGATTGATTTAAAAAAGTAGAGTTAGCTTGAATAAAATGCATCAACCAATAACCACAGCATCGATAATGTCTTAACAAACCAATAAAATCCAGCTTCAGATTAAACAAAAAAGTTCAAGAAAAAATGAAACAATACAATGATGAAAATGGAAAGTTGATATCCGAGCGAACCTTCTTCTCGCCAAGGAAGTTTCTGATCTCGATGGAGGTATTGGAATTGGTGATGCTGGCATTGATGGGAAAGTGTGCATAGACGAATCGCATCTTGTACCGATAGCCTTTCGTTACTCCTGTGATCAAATTCTGGATGTGACTAATCGCCGTGCGTATCGAAGCCGTCGCCTTCCGGGAACCAAACCAGGCATCCACCTTGAGCTTCTTTCCGCCCTCAATGAGTTCGAAGTCAAGATTCAGGTGCTTAAAATTGCGCGAAAGCTTTCCGCGCGGCCCCTCGACCTCCACAATCTTTGCCTTCACCTTGACAGTGATCCCCTCCGGGATGTCCATTGTCTGAGACGAGAGAATCGTCTTCATCTTCGCGTTACCAAGTACGACTCTCCTAGGAGAACTAAAAGTGAGGCGGAGGGGAAACCCTAACGAATTACTGAACCAGAGTTTATATAGCTTACCAGGCGGCGGGTCGGGCTGGTTTTTTATTCAGATATTATTTTTGTTTTAATTTTTAAGGACCTTAAATTCCTCAACTTTAGCCAAAAATTAAAATCTCTTGCATTAAGGATCTGATTTTATAAAATATATTCATGTAACTCAAATTGAAAATATTGAAATTTTACTTAGCTTGATTTAGGCTTAAAACGAAAAAAAATAAAAAAATAATAAGATGTATTGAATAAATTTGAAATTTTTTAAATGTTTCAAAGTTTATTCGAGCTACTTTAAAATTTTAAAATTTCTTGCATCTATATCAACTAAATTATTTCTACTTTGAGCTAGCTAGAATTCAACTTTGCCCAATCTTGTCTAAAAATTACATAAATGTATTGAAAAAATAATTAATAACAACTAATTTGCAAAAATTTTCAAAAGTCTTTACCCCTCATAATGCATATATTTCAACAAGCATGTTTTTATATTTTATTCAGTGAAATATCATCAAAAGTCTTTTTTTTTTAAATGAAAATGCTTTTTTAATGAAAATGTCCATATTTGAAAATAAGAGGGATAATCCTCCATGTTCATGGGAATGTTCAAACAAGAATGCAATTGATATTTTCTCTTTCAAGCATCTTCTCTAACAATCTCGATTGATCTTCGACAAGGTCCCCTTAGTGATTCATTCCATCACTTATAGAAAATGTTAGTGAATCTTTTTTTTATTATTATTTCGATTAGAAAGCATTTATCACCTCTTCCAGCCTAAGCAGTGCCCCTAGGCTAAATATAAAAGGGACGTATTCGAAAGTGTTAGAGCCCCAATTTAAAAAAGGAACCTCACACAAGTTTAAAAAGGTTATACACATAGCATGAGTTTAACATAAAATTTAAATTAAGTGAATAAGATGGAAAACATATAATATCATGTTCAAACCTAAGATTTTTTTTTTAAATTTATTGGAAGTAAGTTCAAACAAAGTTTAAACATCATATCATCTATTTAAATCTTGTTTGAACCTCTTTTAAACCTTTTTTTTTCGAACCCAATGTTGAACCATCAGCTTGAAAATAGATATTCGGAACCAGATTCGAACTAGGTTCCAATGAAGTTCAAACTTGCAATATGAGGTTTGAAACTAGTTCGAACTTCTTTTATGAATGAGTTTGACCATCAGCTTCAAAATAAACCTCATTCAAATGTAGTGCTTGAATATTTGCTTTAGAATGGAAGTTCAAAAATAAGTTTGAATGAGGTTTGAGCTTAAGTATTGAACCATATCTTTTCTTATTATCTTGCACTAAATTGATTCATTTGATTTACTTTGTTATTTATACAAATGTCCAACATAATTATCCTTATGGAGAAGCATTACATTTCTAGAGCCACATTTGAAGTTGGGGGTGATGAAGAAAGCAATCCTGTTGTCTGAAAGTTGTGAAATTTTTGTTAGGGCAAGAAATCTCCTTTAAGCACTTCTTTAATGCTCATGATTTTCATTTATGTAGGTCTTTTTTTATTAGGTTTAGCAAATGAAGATAAATCGTAGAAAATGATGGTTACTCCATTATATTTAACATTAAATGTAAGAATACAAAATCTGAACATTGAAAGTTTTTCTTGATTATTGGGTTGGAGTTTGGTAAATTTCTAATTGGGGAGATAATCACAAGTAGAAAACTTATTGATGACTAGCTTTAAAGTAATATAACTTTTAGTGAAGAGATTAAGAATGCATTAATGGAGACACTATGAAGGAAGATGTATGGAAGTTTATTTTGTTCTTATTGAACTATTACTTAATGATAAGAGGACTTTTATTATTTTTACAAATATACTATCAGTAGTTGAAGAAGATTTTTTTTTCATTACTATCAAGATGAAAATTCTTAATTCTAAATTGCCTTTAGCGTAGGAAAATAGTGAAAAAAAAATCATGAAAATTAAATCAACGCAAAAAAGTCAGCACCGCAATGCTAAAGGTCATTCTAGTGTTATAGTGCCACGCCTCATTACAGCACCCCAGTGGAGAGCTATCAAACAATAAGCTAGAGAGCTTAACACCAAGACGCTATACAGGAAGCGCCGCAGTGCCAAATTGATCAACACCATGCGGGATATACTTGAACTAGTGAACTAATTCGACAAATGGTGAATCAACATGTCGGTCCACTAACGCCACAGTGCCACCAAGCTAATGCCGCAATGCTAGTTTCGTTATTTTCAAAAAAAAAAAAAAAGCCTTAGTATTCATGTTAGGGGGTTGGCACCTTATAGAGTTGTGAGTGTGTGTGTAAGTGTGAGGGGCTATTCTTTAGAGGGAGTGGCTTTTGTATTTGTGTTTGGTGTACTATATTAGTGTGGATTAAAGTGGAGAACTGCAAAGGAGTTGCATCGTAAATTCGGGCCATTTCTAACCCTTTTATCTCTTGTTTAAGTGTTTAACTAAGTGAAATAAAATGTTTGTGTGAGTAACATTGTCTTCATGTGTAGTTAATCTTTTTTTATGAATCTATGATTATTTAAAAATCAGATATTGTTTAGAGTAGGATGAATCTTTATAATTCTCATGCTCATTTTAATTTCTCCGTGCTTTAATTAGTTTATGTAGCCGGATATGAATTAAAAACCTAGTATAATCTAGAGTCTAGAAGGAAGAATAAAAGAATAACTAGATTTTAAAATGTAGTCTGACCACAATATAGACATATGATGGTTAGGATTTTTTGATCTTAAGGAAATAGAAGAAATATAGTTAGGAAGGATCCTAGCTAATAATCCAATGATCTCAATAGAGACGAGGAGTACTTATGCTTGATCCACAACAACAATATGTAAAAAATCACTCTAATGCAATCATGTACTTTTAAATATATCATTAGTTTATAACTTTTTAAAATAGTGAATTAACTTTCTTCATTTGAAGCTTTTTTAACTTAATCTACACCACCCATTTAAATCATCAAACTAGATAAATTTATAGTTTTTGTAGGCAGTACTAAAGTGAACCTAAGAAATTTATAGTTTTCCCCGTGGGATCGACACTATTGTTATAAGTATATTACTTGACACAAATGTGCACTTGTGTTAAATAGGACTTACAATGTAGCAAAATTAAACCTTCACTAGAGAACTTAGTAGTGTGTAAGCAAAAGCACAAAGCTTTACATTTACATAGCTAAAAATAGCCCTATTAAGGTTTTGGTGCCGTTGTCAAGGAATTACAATTATTAAAATTATTTTCCTATTTCGTATTTTATATTGCTAAACAAATTGCTAGTTTAATCTAGCTATACTTTTCAAATTTTTGCATGCTTAGTGTTGCTTTACTTATTAATTCTTAGTATTTTACATTTTCTTTTATGTTGCTTATTGTTGCATGCATAGTACTAAACAACCAATAGAACTTCTATTTTACATTGAAATTGAAAAAAACTCTAAGAAAAATTACAAAACTCAAAAGTTTCAAAAAGAATTAAAAATAGCTAAACAAATTTTAGAAAATGGCCAACCTAAGCTACTTAGGGAATATTCTAATCCTATGGTTGAAGATATTCATCAAAGTATAAAGACCTAGCATTCAAGTCAATAATTGAGTTAAAATCTGCCATAATCATGCAAAACTCAGAATTTAGGAGAACTCTAATAGAAGACCCTAATTTTCTTATAGCTTGTTTCCTTGGAAATCTGTGCAACCTCCAAATATAATGGTGCTATTAATGATATTATTAGACTTAGGTTATTTCCATTTTCACTTAGTGATAAAGCTAAAATTTTGTTAAATTTATTATCTCTAAGCTCAATTTCAACTTGAAATGATCTTGCCAATAAATTTTTAGCTAAATATTTTTCACCATCTAAAGATGCTAAGCTTAGAAATTATATCGTGTCTTTTATCTAGTTAGAAGGTGAGTCTATTTTATTAATGTGGGAGAGTTTTAAGAAACTCCTTAGAAATATCCTGATAATATCTCTCTGATTGGTTATTCATTTAAATCTTTTATAACAACCTTATAAGTTCCCATAAATCAATCATTAATGTTGTTGATGGTGGTTCTTTGATGTCAAATCTATTTGATGAGTCACATGCTTTGACTAAGGAGATGACTACAAACAAGTTTTAATACCCATCCAAAAGAATTAAACTTAGAAAGGTAAAAATGTTTATGAATCTGATGCTTTATCAATTTTAACTGTTCAAGTAGCTGTCATTTGTAGAAAATTAGGTAATCTTCAAATTAATTCACCTAAGAATTCACCTGTGACTATAGAATAAATTTTCTTTGGAGCCTCTAGTGAACCTAATGTTTCTAGAGTAGAATCTATTAATACAATTAAAAAAAGAATCAATAACCCTTTTTCCAATACATATAATCCTGGTTGGAAGAATTGCATCTAATAGAAAAAATAAATGCATATTTTTTATCTTCTTACTCACTATCAGAGCTAATAATTTCATCTAATAGACAAAAGATCAAAAAGAATGTTCTATTTATCAAAACATCCATACATATACAATTTTTATTCTTTCCATCATGTACAATATCCAAAAGTTTAAATGAATTACATCAACCGTTTGTCAAAACTTCTGGTTACAAAAGAAAAAAACTAAACATGTAAATCTAAACTTTGATTGATCCTATAGCACTGGATCCTTACCCCAACCTAAAATCAATTAAATCCACATAATGAGCTTACAAAACCCAACATGTCACCAAATCCTACAACTAGACTCAAAGCACAAAAAAAGAGACAATGTGCATGTTTTATTCCAATCATAATTGTAGCATTTAATATGATTATAATTCTATTTAATGCAGTGAATAAAAAAATCATAAATCATAAAAACAATACTAGTGCAGAAGCTAAACAATAAAGCTGTAAATCATATGAAAACCATTCGCGTACCATTATCAAATAGTGGGGAAATCATATCAATCGTTAAAGCCAAATATATATGCAACTGTTGGAAATCCATAATAAAGAAAA